AGACTTTAACTATGGAAGTTTTGATTTGTTTTTCAATATTTTAATAACCGTACCTATCATTTTACTTTCTTTCAAAATAATTCTATAAAGATATTAAATATTATAAAAATTTAACTTATCAGAAATAAACATAAATCTCACTGAGAATCTTCATTCTCAATTTGAAGTTTGATTTGCGTTTAAGTCTTAACCCTTAGATTAATTAGGATTTTTCCTGTTACTTTCAAAGATTTTTGCTATCATAATTTGGACTCTTTTCTTACATAGACCTGCATGGACATCAAATGAAAACCTCTTTCTAAGGATGAGGAGAGCTTTGAAATGATCTGAAAGTGGGTGGTAAGGTAAGAGTCTAAAGGAAAACCAAAAGGAACAGTCATTTACACGGCTGCTGCTCAGTTGCTTTTAGTGTAATTAAAAATGCAGTCTACAAATCTCTTACCACTTTCACCATCTTCCATTTTCCGTTTTCCATTCGCTGCTTACTTTCTTATGCATTTTCCTTTTCGGCCCCGCTGCGGTTTGTTGTTGTTGTCGTTAGATGAAAACCTTTTGGCCGCCATCCGTATTTCTTTTCATTTTTTTCTTTCCGCAAGCTTTTCCTTCAAGACTTTAAGATGCCGCCCATGAAAATGATTTAATTCACCGCAGTTCGCAATTAAACGCAAGTCGTGGGTAGCGAGTGCAACACTAATTGCATTTTTTTTCACGCCATTTTCTGTTGATAAAGGGATTTGGTTTTCCTTGGCGCCTGCAACTGATTTTAAGGCAGGGATGGGGTGTGGCACAAACTTAATTAAGCCCCCAATGCCAACTGCCTACGGTTGTGTGGGGCAGGGATTGTGGGTGGCCATTCAATGGGCTGTGGCTCAGCATCTTTAATAATACGTGGGCCGGGAAGCCAACTTGGCCGCAGGTAATGAAAATCCCGATGACAATTTTTAGTTGCCACCATGAAAACATTTCAATTGCGGTTGCAAGGCAACGGCAACGGCAACGGAAGTCGTTGCGCCTGATTGCCAGGAATGGCCAGGATCTGGCAGGATCTGGCAGGACAACTGCTAAAAGCAAAGCGGATAAAGTCAATTGAAGTAAATGCTCTCCCACTATGGTTTCACTTCAATTCTCGATACTTTGCCACTGCAAGAAATCTGTATAAAAGGGAAGTTTTTCTTAAAATCTAGGAAAAGCCTAAAGGTTTGTATAAGGTAAAAGTTTTCTGTATCAAAAATCTTATTGGATTTTCCATGTAAATGCGATAAAAATCATTCATATAAGTAAATATTAAATCAATTTGTTATTCGTTTTACTTTTCTTTTCTTGTAAAATTATTAGAAGGAATATTTCTTAAAATGAAATCTTTGAATTTTGCGTAAACCCTTTTAAAAAATGCTAATAAGTAAGGCTAAAATTATTTCTAGGCCTTGAAAGGGTAAATTTCCATCATGGAAATCCATTTGTTTTCAACTTCAAAGAAAACTTTTCTTAGTGTTTTTCATCCCATTTAACCAGTAATTACAATACCCAATATTATTGTTTTTTCCTGGCTTAAACACTTTCTATTTTCCAGTATTTTTTTTGCTACATTTTTACTTTAAAAAATCCCTGGGGAAACGAACGCTGCTGACTGGTGGTGCATTTAATCACTCCGGTTGTGTTGGGAAGCGGGAATATTTAGATAGATTTGGCACATCCCGCCGCAAGGACACACTCGGCTTCATTAGCTGCACTCGGTGAAGAAATGTGCTTGCAAAGCAGATTGCATGCAATCTCAGCATCTCAGTATATCAGCATCTCAGCATCTCATCCTGCGGGGCCCAATTTCTCTTCTTTCCCCCTCAGGAAGTTTCTGCGTGACTATGTGTGTGAGGAAGGCTTAAATAAATAATGGTAGTATGTATATATACATATATATATAGTGCACTTTGATGCAGGGCAGATCGACTCTTGATGGATGTTATTTTCTCGTTTTTCTTAAAGGCGCTTAATTTTCATTTTGGCTTGAGCATTTTCTGCGGGCTTTCCCGGTTTCTATTTACCCTTATCCCTCAGTTGGCATAAATGCATTAAAAACAATAAATGTGCAAAGTGGAGCGGCGCTGAAACGCTCGTAAAGTGGAGCAAGCTAGACAAGAAGCCAGCCAGGATGTGCCAGTATGCTTCGCTGGTTACCCCTTTACCCATTTTTACCGCCTCGAGGGGTTTTTCCAAAGCCCCCAAACTCCCATTTTCCCAACAATTTCCCACCATCTCCCCGTCCACCGTCACGGTCATTGCAAATTAATGGCCTTCAAAGTGGTTAAGCAGCAGGAGATGCAGTTCGCTGGACGCTCGCCGTTTCTTGGCCACCAGCTCATCGAGTCCACAAAGGAGTGCCGGCGAATTTTATGAGTTTCCACGGTGAAATAAGAAATTTTGCACAAAATAATATTACCCCAAAAGAGAAGAGAGAGAGAGGAAAGTAAGGGAGCAGGAGGTGAACGAGGCAGCTCCTTTGGCTGTCTTTTTCCGTGTTGCCATTAAGTGCAAAAGGATTTTCATTCTTATGCGCATCCTGTGCATAATACAGCAGCCTCTGCACACGCAAAACTCATTGTGTCTGTGAGTGTATCTTCCTGGATATCTCTGTGTGTGTCGGTGTCTGTGTGTGTGGGTTGGCAAGGATATGCCAATTTATTGCACACACGAGTGCATTAGAGTGCCAGAGTCCTTGCCATTCCCTCTGTATGTATGTCTCACTCTCTCGCACAATCTCTGTCCGTCTCTTTCGCTGGGCCAAAGTTTTTGTGTTCATTTGGCGATTGCGGCTGCTGCATGTCTGGCAGAAATTACTTAATCCTTGTGGTTTTCTGGAGCAGCAAGTGCATTCTGTGACCATTTCCCTCAATCCTGTATTTTTCCCTTAACCCCCTCTGCTTTCCTTACCACACCCCTTTCGTCCGTTTTCATTTGCCCATTAAAGCAATTGTAATTGGCATTTGTTGTTATTTAAGCAAGCTGGCAAAATCATTTATTTGCTTCCCTTTAAAGACCGGCTGTTCACATTGTCGGGGAGTTTCCACTGGACTCTGGAGTTGGGAATTCTGCCCCTCCTCCTTCTCCCTGGCTCCAGATGCATCCACATTTTCCTGTCTGTTTTTTTCCCCCTCTTTTCCTGATCCCAATCGCCGCCACTGCTGACTGCCCCGTCTTAGCGCCTTTAAATATTTGCCTGGGCCATTGCCAGGATTCTGCTCCTGCTGCTTTTCCAGGCGCTTTATTGCCCCCTGAGATGAACTGGATCCGTGCCTCCTCCCTTGGTTTTGCTACACAGAGAAATATAGCTGATCGGTTTTGTATGTGTTGAAAATTATTTCTAAAATAAACATGGTAAGTGTGTTATGACTGTGAAATCAAGCTTTATTATATTTTAGACTTTTAAATAAAATGTGGAATATTTTAATTATTTTTAAAAGTTTATTGGGTTTTTGTTCGGTGTACGAGTGCAGTTGCCTGGTCGGATGAAGGATGTTGAAGGGCCCCGTCCGTCCACGTCGCAGATTACAAATAAATTATCGCTTAATAGTCTTTTTACGCTCCTCGTTGTTACTGCCATTCCTGGCCAGCAACTTTGATCCCCCGTTTTTACATGACGTCGCGGGGGTAGCTCCTGTCCACTGGGACGATTTAATATGGCATTACACCTTGATTTTGTCGACTTAATAAATTTATTATTTTACATGTTTATACTCATGGAAAATTAGTTGCTAATTATACCATTTAATAATTTGCAAGAATATTTAATATATTAAGAAAACAACCAAAAATTAAAGTTTCAGTTTTTTGCCTAAAAAATTTGTGAAATGTTTAAGGAAATTCAGTGTTTTGTGCTTAAATACTGCCAGATGGTAATTCGCCTCAGTGATCTCTGTATGCTGATACTGAGTCTTATAGGCGAAACACCACACGAGGAAGGGAACCTCAGCAGCTTTCAAATGGGGTGCGGACTTTAAAAATTCATCGAAAATATAAAAGAAATAATAAAAGCGAGCAGGACAGTTAATTTCTGTCTGACGAAGCAAGTTTGCTGTCTGTGTTTGCCTGAAAAATAAAATAAATATTGAAAGAATGGGATGAAATGAGACTTCACTATAGAAATGCTTTAAGTTGTGATTTCTGTTTTGTTTAAAATAAATTTTCTTTTCGATTCTGTATAGTAAAAAAGTCAATTTCTATTCAATGTTGTCAAGTATTGAAAAAATAACTCAAATTTAAACTTTTAATTCTGTATAATGATTGGGATTACACTTTAAATTATTAGCAACCAAAGCAAAGTTGAGTTACAGATTACTTTTCTTAATCATTTCATTTGTTCAAAACAAATTATTAATATCTCATTCGGTAAATCAGAAGTTGCATCTTGATTACATTGTAAACATTAAATTTGTCTTCATTAATTTTTATTACATTACACAGACTAAAGATAATAGCAGAAATTATTGATACTTTTTGTATTGATTAGAATTTCAAAGCTTTAATTCAAACGAAGCTTCCCACCCTCCACTTAAAAATGCCTGGGGCCAAACTTTGTTGTGCAGTGTCGGCAGTTGAAGGGAATGGTGCTGATGTTGTGGATTGGTCTTTCCAATGCCACAAACTTGCGTATGCAAAGGGGGGATTGCAATCGAATTCATTGAATTCGATTTAAAAGCGAAATGAAAACGAGACTGATGGCGAGGGATGAGGAGGTGGCGGTGGCGCTGGCTATGAATGCCTCTGTGGGCGTGGCGAACATAGTTGATATGCCCAAAGGCATGCGAGGCATGTGCCTCAAAAGGCCAGTAAAAAAGAAGTAAAGGGGAAAAAAATAAGTGAAACAATAAAGCGCAATGCGAAGAAGAGGGGTGCCCCAAACAACATATTTAACGGCACTTTTGCGGTTATCTGAGGGCGGCAAAGAGTTGGAGGCATGGCTGAAAAAGATCAAAAAAGAAATAAGGGAAAAAAATATCAGACAGTCATTTGTTTGCTTGCTTGTTTATTGACGATGATTTCATGGTGTTCTTAAAACTCGATTGCACACTTAAAGGCTATTTACAGGATTCGCTTGCCTAGACTTAAGTTTACTTTTCCCATCCCCTTTCGATTTAACACCGTGGCTTTTATTACAATTATACATAAATATTACATTGATTCTTTTTTGTTTTTTTTTGGTTTGTAAATTCTCACGTGCATTTCAGTTGCTTAGAGCTACGAAAATGGTTTAAAAAACAGGTAAAAAAACAAAGTGAAGGAAAAACAAAAATGGAAATTCATCGCATTTTGTAGCGTGCCGACTTCCGTGTGCCATATTGAAATGTCAGCGGTGTGAAGAGTCGCACTGCGGTCATCGTCATCGAAATTGCCACCAGCAGCAGATGCTGCACTTGTGCATTTGGAGTGGCATCTGCAACAGAAAAGGCAGAGATATAGATACAGAGTCAGGGAGAGAGAGGGACCGAGGTCAGAGGTCACACTTTTATTAATTTGCGTTAAAAATTGTCCAAATAGCGAGACCGCGACCCGACTGTCAGTCCGCGTGGAAACGTATTTATTTTTAATTAGCGGCCGCTGACATTGCGGTCAAGTGCATTAAAAGCAATGGTGGCAAAAGGCACTTTAAACACTAAATGTGTATGCCACATTTTCATGTCATTAAGTTTCAATTCGAAATTAATGAAAAAATCTATTAACTTTGGGGCATATAAAAAAATAAGGCAGAACATTTATATTAATCAATTTAGATTGCATTATAAAAATGTTAAACATTTGATGTTGTTTCGATCAACTTCTTTGTGAAGTAAGAAGATATGTAATTCATAGATTTTCAATCACCTACCTGATCTCGAATTAATCAGCTTTTGATTTTTCTGATCGATTTCATCCCTGAAGAGCTGGGCAAACATGCTTCCTTCTCGCTGCAAATGGGGATACCGATCAACCTCTGCCACACACCTTAGTTCAAGGCCAAGTCTGGAAGGTGAGATTGTACGCTTTTGCTGGATCAACTTTTGCAATTGCAGTTCATGAAATTTCGGTTCATTGGCATAAAAATTCAATTGGGAAATAATACGACGCATACTATAGCCATGGGCCACGATCGTGGTCTCTATACTGGGCAGTAGATGAACCAGGGAAACCTGCAAAATAGGGGGATTAATACCTAATTTAAAGAGAAATTTGAGTGGGTTTTTGACTTACTTTTACCCCATTGATGTACCAGGTGATTCTAGTGAAAAGGCTGGAAAAATCAGTGCTGCAGTTAACCTGTACAAAGTCATCAAAGCGATACGTTGAGTGAAAGCTGCTGATTAGTGGATTGTTTTGAGGAAGTGCTGAAAGTAGAGCAATGATTTAGAAATTAAGTTAATGTAATACTAAGCTTAACCTTAAGTTTTGTATCGAAAATACTTCTTAGCAGGTATGAAGAGAGTTCTTTATTTTTCTATTCAAGAAAATGTTTACTTAAGCAACTAACAAAAACGTACATGTCTAACTAGCCGGAACAATGTTGAGTTGAGCTACTAAAAAAGTCCTGCCACTGAAGTATCCTTGGGGGTTAAAGGAGCCCACTTACAAATGCGTATGAGTGTGAGACAGATGACTTTTTCCCTGGCTGAGTGCATCTCAGCTCTCAGTTACGTCCTTAGCTAATTTTAAACGCACATTACACATGCAAATGGCGCACCTTATTTTGCTCTGGTTTTTATTTTCCAGCTATTCCGCTTCTGTTTCTGTGCTTTTGTTTGTGTTTGTTTTTCACCCAACTTCTCTATTTGCTTTTGATAAATTTTTAAAAATATTTTAGCAACAGTAGAGCCGGGGAAAAGCAGTAGCAGCAGCAGCAACAGCAGAGCCCGCGAGGCATGACTGCCCCGCATCTACAAGATATTTATTTTATATCAGCGGAAAAATAGATGATCATAAAACACATGCAGAGAAACATCCTGTGGGGCAAAAGTAAAAGCGAAAATAAGAGAGGAAGGCGAAACGCACACGCTGCGAGGGCAAAAATGGATAGGGGGGAAAATGGAGAAAAGCGGAGGCACTGGCAGTGGCGGAGCTTTTCATTTTAGCGATATCCTTTTTAAGCATAAAGTGCTGCCGTAAATCACAGAGACCGCACACATATACACACACTCATACTATAACTACAAGGAGTAGCAGGATGGGTGCCCTCCTTCTGTATCTGTATGTGTGTGTGCGGATGCGAATCACATGCATCTCTTGGTTACATTTTATGAACGCGCGCTGTTCCTCTCGCGAGCACATCCTGAATGGCTGGCTGCCTCGCTTTCTCCTTCCTTCACAGTTTATCCTGTGCGTGTGCAACACTGCCACACAGCTACCATGAGACACCAACCTACTACCACCGCTAGGAGCCACCACCCACAGTGGGCCTGCAGAGGCAGCCACTTTGCCAGCTCGTCATATATGCAAACGGCCCTGCATGTTTCTTGCAGTTTTCTTCCCCCGTTGTTTACTATTAAAATATCACGGAAATTACACATTTTACTCTGTTTATGCTGTGCAGCAGCAAAGGAAACACGGCGGGAATACGCCAGCGAGAAAGGCACCTATACACTGCGGACAAAAAGTGACCTTCGTTTTTTGTTAAGCGGTGTTAAGTTGACTTAACCCCTTGAAAAATGCTTATAACGTCAAGTAAAACCCATTTTTTTTTCAGCTCTTAAATCTAGATTATTTATTTCTTAGTTTCCCGAAAATTTTTCTCAGTGATGTTAATGTTTTTCTGCATTTGCATCACGCCCCCGCTGATAGTTTCTGAGCACGTGCTTTTTGCGGGCGATAGTGTGGAGTTCGGATTACCCACTGGCCCACTCTCGTTAATTTAAGACTAACAATTGGAATTGCATTTCATTACTCAAGCACCCTTCCACCCACACACTTCTTGTCCCTGGACTCACCTTCGACGGTCATGTTGGCATCGCGAGCAGTTAGCTGGAAGTGAGGAGCATCGCCGGACACTTCACACCTGTAGACTCCCGACGACTTGACGCCCAATAAATTGAGTTCTACGCGACAGGAGGATTCGTTACACTCGTTGCCTTCATCGATCAGCTGAACGCCCTCCACAGCGAACGGGATGTAGGTGGGCGGGGTAAGAGGCGAGTATCTGGGAAAAGTGGGTGATTAATTCAGATATATATATATATGTAGCTATAGTGTTGTCTTGAAAAGGTGCCAAAAGGCATCTTTTTAGAGAATAATAACTTTTTAAAAATATGCTAAAGATATTTTTTTTATCGTTTTTATTTTAAAACCAATAGTTGAGTACAAAAACTAGCTAAAGAGAACTTATCTAAAAAGGGAACTAGATATTTTAAAAAGTTAAGAATACTATTCTTTGTTGCCGAATAGGTTTTCATGATAGCTTAACATTTTATATTTCAAAATGAAACACAACAAGCTTTCGTTTAAAATGTACTAAGAAATAGCCAAGATGTCAACACTTTTACTCGGAATAGTAGGAGTTGAGATGAGCTGGCAAAGTGGCCGCAAATTGCAAAGGATCTGCACCCTCTTCCTTTTGGAAAGCCAACTGATAATCGGCAGATGTGTGTCGTAGGCTTGGGTTAAAAGCTTTCAAAGCCATCAACGCAAACCGGCCAGGAAATGGAGGAATCGTTTCTCTTTTTCGCCACTCGCAGACAAGTGGCTTACATGCACTCAACCTTAACTGATTGCCAATGTGGGTTCGACGTGTGGAAAACCGGGACGAGTGGTCGAATCGATGGAAAATCGAGGATAGAAAGGAAGGAAAGCTGAGAGCTAGGAGCTGAGGGCACAGCCCTTTAATTTGTTTTGTATTGTGGATTGATGCTCATTAATCCCACAAATGCCTCAAAACATGTAAAAAGCGGAATCCACAACAAAAAGTGTTCAAGTGGAAAACTTGTCCAACACACACACACACACACACAGAGAGGCCAAGTAGCTTTTCCCCTGCTACAAAAACCACATAAATAAAATCCTAGCTAAGGCAAAAAAAAATCGTTGCCTACTTTTGTGCGCTGCTGTAGTGTTGATAAGTCGCCTTCGAGCGCTACTTGTTAATAGCCATGATAGAAAAGAAGTGGGCGTGGCAAGGGGGTCCTGGGCCCGATTTCGCATTATTTGCGGCTTAGGCGGTAACTGCGGCAGCAAATCAACAAATTTGATAAGCAATATAAACGGCAACCACCGCCGTCCGATGCTCGTTACAAGGGGATTTGTTTGGGACAGAACCAGTGGGTCTTTTTTGTTCGTTGGGATTCACACACACAAAAAAAGGCCAAACTAAAATAAACATTGAATTAATTTCACTAAAGAAAGAGAAACAGTTGTTCTTTGAGTCTTAAGGACAACAATAAATTGGAAACTAGCAAAGAAGTTCGATTTGTTAAAATATTAAATTTTAAATAAAAACATTGACTAAGAATAATTTATTTATTTTGTAACAGTTTTGATTTAGAATTTTCGACAAATACTTCAAACTTAAAACTTTTATTTAAATAATATTTTATGAAAGTTTTGGGAACTGTGTGCCATTGGCAATTAGTTGCCAAAAAAAAAACTCAAAGAAAAGAGAAATGTTGCAAGTTATTTGTGAACTTCTGGCGCTCGCTCTTTGTTGCACTAGTGTTTGCCTTTAATTTGCATTCGGCTGGCAAGTGCAAGTGGAATTGCAATTTGCCTCCAGTTGACTTTTACGTGCTGCTGTCTAATTAAAACTTTCCCTCGCCCCATGGGACTCGCTAACTGTCTCGTTCCCTTCTCTTCTTCTCTCTTTTTTCCTATATATTTTTCTACTTTTTTTTTTTTATTTCTGCCAGCTTTTCTCGCAGATTTTGCCTGTGCGGGAGTTCATATATGTTATATGTACTCTGCTCTAGTCATTTTTAATTAAGCAAAATGCTTGGGAGACACCGAAGATTTTTTTAATTTTCACATCCTAGTCGAGAAAGAGAGTCGGAGAGTCTCGGAGCTGACAATAATGAAGTGTTATCATGCCACTTGTTTGCGGCTAACTTGGGGTCAAATGGCCTTTTAATCATCATATTTGGCCTGCCCAGTCGAAATATGTGCTCTTTTGGGCAATTAATTTGTTGTTTGCTGTTTGGTCCGCTGCAAACGATGTGTGCATAAATAATAAAAGCTCGCTTAACGGCCAACTTGTGTGTAAGAGTGGATGTGAGTATAGGATGAAGGGCTCGAAGCTCCCTCCTCTCTCTCTCTCTGTTTGGCCAAACATTTAAATTAATTTGCCAACACAAATTAATTTATTTAATAATTAATTGAGCAAGAAAGTCGGCCGACAATGAACATATTTGTGGGTGCGTGTGTTGTGCATGCACAGAAAACCACTCGGGGGTCAGAGGTCATGGGGACCGTGGCCCAGATTCTCATGCATCTGACAGCTGCGTGTTGAAATAAATATAATAAATTTATGAGGCAAAAAGAGTCTGGTACGAAACTATCAGGTCAAGTGATCATATTTGTTCGTTCGTTGAATAAACAAATACATAATTGCTGTGAGGTTCTCCTCTGACATACTAAACTGAATGGCTCTATAATTGTTTTATAATTGTCCACTCGATAACAGCTAGATCATGTTAAATTATATTTTAATTTGTGTGCTTAGTTGATGAGATAATGTTTTATTATTTGCTAGCCTATAGCATTAGAGAAAGAAAATTTGATGACCTAACAAGATCTAAATATTCATAATATAATAATTATAATTATAATTAAATTTTAAAATCAAATTATTTATAGCTATGTGAAGTACTGTTTATATTTTATACAGCAAACTAAGGGACATCCCAACAAAAAATGATTTAATGCGCCATTTCTGTACTTACCTAAAGAACTCCTTTCCGTTTTTGTACCACTTAACCGAATTTAACGTGTGACCACTTATGTCATAGCTGCAGGATAATGTCACGTTATCACGAAAATCAACAATTTGTGGCACATTGATGTCAGTCACACGTAGACACTGAATGCGCCGCACAACTGCCAGGGTTGCAAATGTTTGGGATTTTCCGGGGGAAAAGCAAGAGAGAGAGAGAGTAAGAGAGAAATGTTAGTCCCATGCAGCGAGATGAAAAACGTCAGATAAAATGATGAGAAATGCCATAAAAATGGTGAATATAAAAAAGAATAAATACGAAAAACTGGCAACGAAATGAAAATGTTTTGCATTCGTCGTCTGCTTTAAATTGAGGCATTAAACCAGTCCCATAGAATCTCGATTCCCTCACAGAGATTGTGTGGTAATAAAAAATTATCATTTGATTCTTTTTCGAAGCCAAGAGGGGAAAAAACTTCTTCCCTGCCAGACAAGTGACTGCAGAAAAAAAAAGTGAAAATCTCATTGGACAGATCGATTTTGTGTCTTTTATGGTTAAGAAATAAAATTTTACATTTTCAGTACTTTTTCTGTTTTTTAAAGAATTGTTCTTTAATTTTTGATAAAACTGAAATACCTGAGCATAAATAAGGTGTAAGGCTTTATTTAGATAATCCTATTAATACTACATAATTTAAATATTTTTTTCAAGGTCTTTCATTCTTCTGTAACATTTTATAATATTAATTCATTTCAAATTCTTTTCTCTCACTTTTTCCCACAAAATTTCTGCTCCTTCTTCCCCTAGCGCTCTCTTTGTCTGCTTAATTCATTGTTGCAAATTGAGAAACACTTTTAATCGCTGCTCTGCATTTTAAGCTTATCAAAAGTAAAATGAAAATGGCACGATTTAAAGCGTTGCAGTAGGAGAATTACGAACAAGAGCAACCGACGCACAACTCCTAATTGAATGAACTTGTAGAAATGCTGAGCACTAAAACTCAGACAAAGCTCTTTCCACAGCAACAAAAAAAAAAAACACACTAAACGCTGCCACCGCCAACAACAACAACAACAACAACAATAGCAATAACAACAACAACAAACCGCGTGCTGGTTTTTACAATTTGCAGAACGCTTTTAAGTGCAAACAGACAGAGAGAGTAAGGAATGAAAAAAAAAGGAGATAGGGAAAATGCCGGAAAAAATGGTTAATATCATTAGCTGCAATGGGTTTTTTCTTGCCATTGCCGCCGCCGTGGTGTTTTTTTTTCCGAGTTCCGAGTTCCTTGCATTGCACTAAATGCCGAAGTTGCTGGTGGTACAGAAATTTCCATAATCTTGGCCCTGTCAGTTGCTGCAGTTGAAGTTGCAATTGCAACTGGAGCACACTGCCGCATGATAAGCAAGAAATCCGCGAGACGTCGCCAAGTGGAAGCCAACAACTTGTGCATAATTTTCGCAAATCGCATTAGGTAACAGCAGCAGCAACAGTAGCAACAGCAACAACAGCAACAGCAGCGACATCAACAACACTAGCAACAACAGCACCTTGCAGCAACAGTTGCAACTGCAACACTCGTGAATTTAATTTGTCGCAGTTTACAGTTGAAATAACTTGCAAGGATGTCAAAAGTTGCAATTGCCGAAGGCGCACCACGAGCAGAGTATTTATTTTTCGGCTTGTTCGAGTTCGTCCTTCGAGTAAGAGGCGAAAAAAAAGGGAAGAAAACTCTTTGAGTTGGTGCAACATCTGGAAAATGGGAAAACGGGCCAGACAAACTTGTTTAAACTTTCAATAGACAAACAGACAAAAGTGCCTCTGCCTGATTCTGATTCCGATTCTGATTCGGATTCCTATCCCAGTGACATGAGTCCTTTGAAGCATGTCAAAGCAGCCGACGAACAACAACAGGAGCAGCAACAGCAACAGCAGCAGCAACAGCAGCAACAAGGACGACAATGGCAAACACATTTGCAAATGGCAGCGGCAACCGCAGCTTAATGACAGCCGTAGAGGAAAAGTAAATGGAAAACTTCACCTGCGCGACTAAAAAGACAGGACACAACTGTTGTTTGCGGTTGTGTGCGTGTCGTATTTATGTGTGTGTGTGTGTGTGTCTGCCTGCTTTGTATATGTAAATAATAAAAATAAGTACATCAAATACAGACAAACGAAACTTTTTTGCACGGCAATCAACGCACTTGAGTGAACTTTGCTGCCTAATAACGAAAACCAGGAGGAAAAACCATCGGCTCAGACTGAGGATGAAACCGAGTCGAAGGAACAACCAAGACAAGACAGCATATCAATTTGTTGCTGCTCCAAGGCACTGGAAAAAACTTGATGCAAAAAACAATTTTATAAGTTATAAGATGGGTTTAGCTATATAAATTTAAATTTTAAATTTAAAGATAAGTCTAAGGTGCTTAATACGAAATTGTATCCTTCTACCCCAGAGTTTGTTTCAGCGAGTTAATAGTTAGTCATTTTCTATGAATCAAACTCGAATTTTCGTAAATTAGAACCGCAGTTTACAATTTGTTAAATTGCAAGAATAAAACAAAAATATTTTCAATAAAGCTGAAAAGAAAGTGTGAAATTATTTGACCGGAAAATGTTTCTTTTATTTTGTTTTGTTTTGCTTTGCTTATATAAATAATTTGCAGGCCATTTCGATTCCAGCTTATGTAAATACCCACCCAATATTTATTATTATTATTATTTTTCTCTAAATAAATTTGCCCTATTAAAGTTCAGTGAAAGTGGAAATCGGAAAATTGCAGCAAATATTTGGTAGCTTTTTAGTTTTTTCTTGAAAAATATTTTAAGCATTCTAGCTATTTGTTGATGATTTTCCCGAGTGCCGACTTTCCCATTCCGTTTGACTGGCGCAGCTGTTCGGTTGTGGCCCACGAAGCTCCGCAAACAAAGAAGACATCTCAGCCAGCTCTAATGAAAGTCAAGGGCCAAAAGCAGTTCAATAAGCTCTTCTACTTCGAAGGCTTTGAGATGGCTTTAATAGGGAGTGCTCTAGCAGGACTCTAGGTTCTGGAATAGTTTGAGGAAAATACCAAATGTATTTTGGCTATTTTTCCTCGACTACTGGAATCAAATCCGCTTTAAGCATTTGCCGCCAAAACGAACGATAAACGCTCGAATAGACAAATCTGCAGTAAACCAAGGGAAAAGTAAGCAGCCCAAGGAGCCGGAAAGAAGTGGTGAAAAATCGAGGAAAATCGTGGGGCCAAGCGTCTATAATTTGCATACAAATGCGCTACCAACAACGACAAGTGGGACATTGGATTTCTGGGCGCCAGTTTTTAGGATCGAGGTGGGAGTTTGTTTTAGTTTGGCTTTGGGCTGTACTGCGGCAAACAAACACAAATAAAGATGCTAATCTCAGCAAAGCGCACTGGCTTCAAAAACAAAAACAAAAAAAAAACTACAAAATCACACAAAAAACAAGAGGAAAATCGAGCAGCTAAACGAGCAACACGAGCAGGCCAAGTTAGCTAGAAAAAGCATGGCCAAAAAGCATGGTCGAGATTTCTCAGCTGATGCGTGGCTCTGTTGTTTTTGGCTTCAGTTTTCCCAGATTTTTTTTTGTTCAAATCCCATTTGGTATGCAGCTGCAAACGCGTGAAAGTTTAAACTTGATTTGAGAGACTCCAGCTTTAGCTGCAACTTCAACTTCAACTTCAGAATTGGCAAGCGGCTTTGTCAGGGTCTCTTGGCCACATGACATGTGAAAGTCCATGTACCATCCAGAAATTTTCCGAGGGCGGAAATGTGTAATTTTTGTGTGCAAACATGGCAAAGACATTTACTCAGCCTTCGGGGAGAAATGGGGAAACGCACACTTACTAAAATTGAAGACACTTATAAAATCGGCAATTTGTTTAAATAAACTTTATGGCACTTGGGGCCGGGAGTCTCTTTGGCTCCTCTGCTCCTCGTCTCCTCGCTGTTGTAGCCAAATATTTATTTTCTTAGCAGCCAGTCACTGTTTGCAGTGAATTTTAAGAGCGTCTATAAATTTGAGAAAAGTGCAAATAAAATATAGCGACCGAGATAGATAGAGAGGCAAGGCAAGTCCTTGCCACAGTTTTTACTCAATGGTAGAGGGGTAAATCCTTTAAGGCGTACTCCGGTTTTGAAATTGTCGCATTTATGTTTGGTTTATGCAAATGTCCTGCCATCGCAGCCGAGTGTCGTGGCATTTGTCAATGTCTGTGTCCATGTCCTTGTCCTTGCCATTTGAGGTTCCTCAAACAATGCATGAACTCGTTAAAAAGAAAGAAACTCAGTTTGATATTTTGTTGGCATACATTTCCTCTTTTTTTCACTTTTTTGGTAATGAATGTGCTTTGCATATTGCAAATTGGAATAACCAAATATTGTTCAGTGAATTGTAAAAAAAAGTAAAAGAGGTAAAATTGATTGAAATTTAATTTTCAACGAGAACAAAACATTGGCACAGCGAATAAACTTCACAAAAATGGATCCTGTTAGTAAAACGCATATTTTTGTTTAAATGGGTGTTAGAAAAAGTAAATTTGATTAGCATTTCCATAAACTAATTCAATTTAGTTTATTTGATTAGCTAATCTAGCTAAAAAACAGTTTAATGAAAATTTTAAATGTTTTGTTTTTTTTACAGACAGATTTCATTCAATTTAAAGGATTGTTGACAAAATGTTATTTTTAGAATTTTCCTTTTGTAGCCATCTGGATATTATTTTCAACTTTCGTCTTTAAGTATTGCTCATCCGACGTGTTGTCTGAGCAATAATAGAAGAAAAGACATGGCTTATCGGCGGCAGACACATTAAAGCTAATTGAAATTATTATTATTTTTATTTCGATGCCAAGTTCTGGCCGTTTCGGTTCATTTTGCCTTTCATTGGGTCCATAATTAAAAGTGTATTTAAAAAACAATTTCGGCGGCATAAAATTAACATAAATTGATGCGGTCGAGGTCGGGTCAGAAGAGAGATAGAGAGAGAAAGACTATCATCCGAGCGGGTCAAAAGGCGGCGACACCCAAACAAACACATTTATTGCTATGCTAATTTCGTGTTCGGGTCACACAGAAGCCAAATGCACAAAAGCGGCGAGCGGAAACGGAAATACCTAAATGACTATGGCCATAGTGTATATGTGTGTGTGTGTAAGTGTGTATGTATATATGCTTGCCACAAAGTTGCCGACATCGTGGACTTTGTCGTAAAAAAGGTTTGCGGCTGCTTGCCAAAGGATTAAAAGCAAAAGGCAATAAAATGAAAAGTTTCAAATATTTTCATTATTACGACCGTGGTCTTTCGGCCGGGCTCTCTATAGGTTATATCCTGTGGGCCAGGACTTTAACGTTAACTTACCCAGCAGCATGTGCACGCCCAGCTGCAGCAGCCAGCGGCCAAGGTCCATTGTGGCCGGTCGCCTTTTAAAGTCCCCAGCTGATTTCGATCCTGGGCTTTGGCCTCATAGGACTCGGTATGCCAATGGAGGACGATGCGGCTGGTAAAGCGGAAAACTTTTCGCTCTTTTTGGCCAAACTCAATGGCCGGCCATATTTTCTATTAGTCCAAACTTTTTTGGGGGGGGGCAAAACTTTTTCAGCTCTACGCGCCGCCTCTCATGATTACAACGTCCTCTATCTACATAGATATAGTTTCGATATCGATAAATGCCATTGACAGGTCAGTGGGCCAATGAGCTAGAAAAATAAATGGAGAATCCTTGTTAGCAAAAAGAAATCGTTCACATTTGCCTTTTTGTTTTAAGGTTATTAAATTCGAAAACTTTTTTGGCGTCAAAGCACAAAAAACATTCATCGTGTAACATCAGTACACGAAGAAAAAAAGGAAGTAGTGTTTTATATTATATAAAATAAAAAATGTCAATTTATGAAAGTCGATCTGCTATAGCTTAAACTGGTAACTTCAAGATATGCAGATATTCATCTGCCAGCTATTTTATTTTTGGCATATAAATAAAATATTTTTCTCTCTGTATTTGAATACTCCCCTCTTACCCGTACATGTCTGACTTTTGTAAAGTTTCTCTTTGGATTTTTTATTAAACTTTTCTCGGCTATTTTTTTTCGCTTTCATTTTGCTTGGCCACTGCATTTGTTTATTGTCATTGTCAGCGTTATTTAAACGTTGACAGTTTCAAAAATTCACAGGAAAGCCAAAAAAAAAAAAAAAAAACAGAATATCCAAAAATATAGCAGACAACTTTGTCTGCCATGGAAGCCAAAACAAAAATTCCCATAGCTTGGCCATGGTCCAGGCAAAATTTCAAAGTCTGGGAGTAGAGGAACAGACATCCTGACCTCGGCAGGACGCTTCGGGCTTTTGTGGCTCAAAGTCCTTTAATGCTCTAATCAAATTGTGGCTTCTTTTTTGGTGGGCTTCCCCTCGTTAATGTTGTTGTTGTTTTTGTTATTACTGCTGATGCTGTCCTCATTGTTTTGGTTTCATTGACGCGTTTATTAAAATTACCGAGACAAAGTTTTTTCCTGCGGAACGGCAGTTTATTTTTTTATAAAAAAAAAAGTAAGCAGAAACAGACAGGCCAGGGAGGTGCGATTGTTGCTGAAAATATTCGGTAAATTTACAGGCAGTCGAGGAATCTGAATGAACAAATTACAATTGTGATTGGAGCAGACAGGAAGGCAAAAATTGCCAAAGGAAGGAAGGAACAATTGCACAAAGTGTATCAGTTAAATATTTGATTATTATGACTAAATTTGAATCAATGCGAAAATAACTGAGCCAAGGATGCTTGTTTCCGGAAATATTAATTTAAGAGACAGCTGGAAAGATTGTTCTTTAACAAATTCTTAAAATTAAAGAAGTACTTCAAGGAATTTCGTTTTTATTTTGTTAATTTACAAAATAAATTGTTTTAATTGCAATAAAGAAGATAAACAAAAAGCTTAAATTAAACAAGAAAAACATATCTAAGATAAAAAAATAAATTCAAATATTTTGATTCAAAGCTTTATATTTCGTAATTCGTTATCTACAATTCTTGGATGAGTAAGCAAAACAAATCATTGTCAAATTAGCAAGCGAAATGGCATTGTTCTTGGGGCCAGAGACCAGTTTGAATACATTGTTAATTGAATTATTTCTATGCAATTTATATTGCTGATTGACATGATCTTTCTGAGGGATGGCATTAGATGCCAGGCAACAAAAATATTTAGACAGAAATATGATTGCTGCAATTCCCCAAACCTTAAAAGATTGCCACTCATAGCATGCACATGACATGATAACGAAATCAAATGGAGAACTTGGCCGAATGCACAAAGAATTCTTTTATATAAAATGCCAATGCAGAGACACAATCACAATAATCGAAATGATTTTCAATTGATTGTTGCGAAAGCAGACTTCGCTTATGCAATTAGACAAAATGCTTTGTGATTCTGACTTGCTGATGAATCACAAGGACTTTTACCCTCGGGGCTTACTGAAAATTTCTCGAAATTCGCCTGTCTTTCAATTATAATGTAAATATCAAATTAATGCCAAGTATCGGCTAGCACTTGACGTTTTCATTTCCATTTCGAATTACATTTCCATTGCCAGTTGCAGTTGTTTGGCATATCAATTTGCTCTCAATTTGTTGTTGTGCATTAACATGGCGTATACGCAACATGTTTCCCATCGAAGCAGACAATGTCAAGAACTCACACACACGAGCAGATATACTCGCATAACCCTAAATGGAACACCTACACACACACACACATGCACACTCTTAGCGAGAGAGGGAGAGAGCGATAGTGACTTAAACAGCTCTGCTTGAAGCTGAGTTAATTACTTAATGGCAATGTAATGTATACACATACATAATTAACAAACATTTCATTGACTGGCTTAAATGACACACATGCACAAACACGTCCGCATCTGTCTCTTTTTAGCATTATACATACCCCTTTCTCTCTCTTTCACTCCGGTTGTCTAAAATCTACACATGACTTTTGAAATATTTATGCGCTTTTCAGCCTGCCGCCTGTGCAGTTGTTGCATTTCATATTTTCCCTTGTATGGTGAAATTTACATAAATCCATAATTTTACAGCATGCGTGGTAATATTTTTTTTATATATAACTTTATTTTAAAAATTCATTGGAAAAAGTCTAGTACATATTGAAGTTCCCTGTGTTTTCGTTTTTCGTCGACGCCGTTTAACAACAACAAATGCTGAACAACCGTACCGCCACGTAATCGGCAGCGTTTTCCCTTCGTACCGCTACGCACCAAAGTTGCCGTGAAACTGACTCCGGCATGCGAGTTCCAGATTCGGGATTCCGCTACGGATTCTGAGCAACTCTTTGATGCCGTGTCTAGACTTTCGCAGGACCAACGCCGATCCAGCTTCGTTTTCTGTCGGAAAATCAACAGAGAAAATGCTCAATTCAAGAGAAAAATGGAAAATCAAGTTGCAAAGCTAAAGAGAAAATTAGAAATGATACCTTTGGGCGCGGTAAGTCTCCTGGATTTTCTCTTGTTTTTAACATTTTTGGGATGCTGTTGCCTTTAGTTTGCAGCTTTGTGGTGTCTGTTAAGTTCTCATAATGCTAAGATTACAGAGTGGAGACTTTAAATCGACGTCGGTCAAGGCAAACCATGAAATGTTATTATTAACATATGTTCTTTAACAGCAATGTAAACCACGAAGGCTGTCTATTAACTTTAAGGATTTACAGATTAAAATTTTAATAATAGAATAAAGGAGGTCGTAGGAGGATATTTAATCTGAAGATTGTTTCGGATATAAAACTAAAAAAGTGAAGCTAAGAAAACTTGTAAGCTAAGGATGTAACAAGCCGTTCATCTAAATATTTAAAAGAAATCTTTAGTTTGAAATCTTGACTTATTGCCTTAAGCCAAAACTTCTAAACAAAAGGTTAAAAAATAAGAAATAATAAAGTTAGAATCATAAATTACAAACTTCCTAAGATAATTTACTACTACTAGTACTAGGCTGCCCTAGTCTAGCAACAATATTTGGACAACTCCGGGATAAAGCCAAATCTCCAACTGCTTAGTGCCGAATTAACCCGCGGCGGTCTTGTGCATCGAGGTAGACAATTGAAAACTACATTTTCCGCCCAATGCCACACCCACTTCCACTGCCACTCCCACTCGAATTGTCGGCAATGTGGCGGCCAAATCCTATTAGCCACATGCCAGTCTTTGTCGCTGTTGGCCGCATTTTGGCCGGCAGACATGGCGGAATGCATCCAGCAGCTTAAGCCGCAACTGCAGTTCCAGCTTGGTTCGGAAAAGAAATGGAATTTCGCCGGCAAGCCGCTTAGTTTCTTATCGATTTCATTTGTTGTGCTTGAAAAGGACTGCCGACGGAAAATTGAGGGGAAACGGAGGTGGGGGCTTGCGAAACAAATGGCAAATGGCTCCAGTTATCAGTCACTCGCAGAGTTGCAGCTGCTGCTGCTGCTCTTGGCAAGGCCAAATCGGGGTTATCTCATCCTGTTTCCGATTCTGCAGCTGAAGCCTCTGCAGCTGTCTGCCAATCTGATGTTAATGTTGTGCTGTGGTTTGTTGTACTCCTGTCATCCAGATGAAACACACTGCCATTGTTGCATGCACTTAAAAAAATGATGTAACATAAAATTATTTCATTGGTAACTCTTGAAAAGACTTAGAAATGTTTATCCAATAGGGATTTGTGATATCCAACAGCATTTGGAATATTTTGCTAATATTTCGTTCTAACTTAATATCTAAGTGACAGATTGAATTCCATATAAGTATAACATTTCCTTGATAAGTCAAAAGAAAAACTCATTAATCAATTAAAAAACTTTTAATATTTTTAATTGCATAGTCATTATATTCCTTCACACCTTCTCAACTTTTGATAAAACGTTTCAATCGCTAAGTGATTATGCTGTCAAGAAATATCCTGCGAAACATAACGCCCTATAATGCAATCGAGTTTACTCTTAATGGGTTGCAAGTTGATGGTTAAATTAAATTGCGTTAAAAATAAAATCAGCTCAAATCAATTCAAATGAATTTTCCACTCTGCTCGGCTGGCAATAATTAATTTTTGTAAATTTACGTCACAGCCGTTGGAGAGCTTGTTAAAAATCAATAAAGCTTATGGGCTTAATGAGCTCGCTAGGTAAAGTGCCACGCCCTCAACGTTTCGTCTGCATTAAGCTGATTTAATATTCAAGTATTTATCGAATATATATGTTTCGCACACTTTGCCACCAACTTTCATCCCGCCGTAAACTGAAAATATTCGAGCATATTTATTTAATTTCAGGCATTATTGTCGCCTGTCCTCTACAGGGATTTGTTCTAGGTCACGAGGCGAGCTCATAAACTATGTGGAATTTTGGCACAATCCGATTATTCGTTGGCCTCTACAGGAATGAAATTTTAGTGAAGTATTAAAGGAAATGATTAATAAATTCAATTGATTTGCACTCTGCTTAATCACTTTGTTTCTGAAATATTACATATTATAAAGGTCAAGTGGTGGTTTCTTTTTATAATTTATTACATTCAAATTTTAAATATTATATTATATTTAACCCTTGTAGACCCTCGGATGTTGCGCACTTAAATGCCTGAAAAATTGATTCAAATGTGGACCGGAAAGTATGCCGATGCAATGGCAAATGTATCACCACAGCTATTTCCCCCCGGTCAAGGGCCATTATCGTATTTTGCCTTCGTTGTTGTCGCCGGTAAAGTTCTTGCGGTTAAGTTTTTATTTTTGGCCCTTTACCTTTTCTTTTTTTTTTTGCCTAGCAATAGCTGCATATCCGTAGATGGCACGTGAGTTTCCCGTACCAGGGACATGACCAAGGGACTAATGGCACTCACACACACACACACTCGCACACTTGTCACGTGTTTAGACTACAACAAATATGCTAAAAATGTTATGCCAAAAGCCATGCAGGCGATGGGCAAAAAAAAGGGGAGCAGGGCATTTGGATTTTGCATTTTACAGCACCCGAAGGCAGCGCAGCTGCTAAACTTGGCGCCGTTTGTTGCCATTTGCGAAAATGCGCGCGAGTATTTTAAAAATGCATTCCTTCCCCCTCCCAACCAACTCACGCTATTCGGAATGGAACCCATTTGATCTCCCTACCCATTCCGCCCATCACGTTCCGGCCAAGTTAAGCAAGCAAAAGGCAGAAGCTGCAACGGCACCAGCTTATGGTCATATGATACTGAACGGAAAGTGTCAGTAAACGTTTCGAAAAATGGGAATTTCAAAAAAAAAATTATAATCATTATTTGAAATTAGTTTATGACTTTATAAAAGAAATTATATTCATATTTTCACAGATTTTATTGTTTTCTTTTTTAATGTATTATTCTTAATTGTAAACTAATCTGCTTATCTAATTAAATGTTTTTAGTTTTAAATTTGAAACTTAATTTCCATTTTTCTAGCATCTTCTGTTTCTTAGAACCGTGTCATTCCAGCATAAGGGTTTTCTGTAAAGGGTCTGCCATACGGATATGTGTGGTGTCATCTCGGTTCCCAGCGGGTTAATGGAGTTACAGCAGACGTGTCGTGTAGGTGGTCCCAACATGGACAAGAAATACCACTGCCATTGCCACTGCCCTCAAACCAACCTCTGGATAAACTTCAAACATGATCAAGCGAAATTTACATTGAGCCAAAGTTTGGCGGCTAAAAAAGTTCTTGGCTCTTGATTTTTCATGAACTGCCGTCGTCTGGCGTTTTCGGTGGCTCATTATACAGATGAGAGGGATGAGTTTTTTTTTGTGTTATTTTTTTTGGCTACTTGGCAAGACGCTCGCCACATTCCTAGGCAAATAGTCGTAAATAAGCAGCCGCTGTGGCAACAATAATGCGACTATTGTCGCTGCTGCGCCCAGAAGTATGCAATGCGAAATGCGAAAAGCGAGAAGGAGCCGCGGCAAGTTTATTAAAAATCTGAGTTTTCCCCGCCTTTCACCCACGGCCTCTGGTGTATTATTATTGTTTTCCTTTTTGGCCTTTCTTGCGCCTGTTTTATTTGATTTTCCCTGTGTTTTTTTTTTCATTTTTGTGATGTTTTCCGACATTGGTTTGTTTTTATACCCTGATAAGAGGGTACTCTAAAATTTAAAAAAATCTGGTTTATAAAAAAGGAATCCTTTTTGGTTACTTAATATTTATATTATTTTTTACGAGATAAAAAATGAAGATATATAATAATACAGCATACCATAACTTTTACAAATTGATTAAAGAGCATTTTAAAGTTCGACTGTAAAACAAATTTTTATGTTTGAGTTTTTTTTACTGTACCACTTGGCCAGGCTAGCGCTACATGCACTTGAGTTTCATTTGCTTGTTCTTCAGCAGAATGGCCCCCTTTCACCACCCCCTTGGCCCCACCCACAATGTCAGAGAGTGCATTAAAAATTGTAGTGGCCCGAAAAGTTTTATGTACATTGCCAGAAAAAGCGGGACAAAGAGGGGGGTGGCCCTAGCGAGCGCCAAAAGAAAACCACAACAAAATGAAGTCGAAATGTTGCTGCCTGCTGTTGTTTCGTTAGGTGTTCTTGTTTTTGCCCTGTTCTGGGCCATTATTATTGCCCATGATGTCGTTGTTGTTGTTGTTATTGTTGTTATTGTTGTTACTGCCACTAGTGCGGTGCAGTTCACTTTGTTAAATTATGTGCAGCATTTGTGGGCACACTTTCTAGACGCGGCGAATCGACTGACCTTTGTCCCACCACCCAACTCAGTACAAACCACCCTCTATGCTGTTCTCGCGGGGCATTTTCCCTCTGAGGTTCCCGCGGGCGGAGAATAAAATTAATTATTATTCGCATACAAAAAAAAAACGGAGCCATAAGGATGAGTTATGAATAGAATTTATAGTGATTACCATTTATGCATATTCAGTAATGGGAAATACTTGAAATAGCGATTACTTATTCAAATAATTGTGAAATTCAACGGTTTTAAGGGATCTTGAAAGATAAATGCTTAAAGTTAGTAAAAATATTGAGGTTATATTATTTGAAAAAATTCTTTATAATTTTAATGATTAGGTATTTGATCTTAGCTTGATAAATGCCATTAGAATCAAAAACTAAAAATTCATTTGGGGCAGTCTGAATCGCAACCTTTGAGATCCAAATCAAATTTTGATTAGTCTACCCATTTGGTTATAAATCGTTTTCGAATATTTCAAAAAAGAAAGAATCAATACGATGAGCAAGAAATCCAAGCGTCAAGCCCGCTCAAAAAAGCCTCGTAGTGGAGGAGGTAATGGAAGATCTTCTCATGCTGAACCATCGAAAAACACCTCCAAGAACTCCGTCGAAAAAGCTAAAAACACTTCAGCTAAGAGTCCGATCCAGAGCTCCATTAAGCAACCAAAGAACCTAGAAGCCGACATCTCAAAGGGCATTGAATCAGAAGATGAAGAACAGCTTCAAACTGATTGGGATAATGAAACCAAATATCAAGATGAGATTCAGGTTCAGGAGGTCAAGTTGGAGAGCCAGATATACGAGAATGTTGAAAACTCCTACCGCATCGAATCACATCGCCATTTCGGAGTATTTTTATCACGCAATCGCTTTGATGCCATCCTATTGTTAACCCGAAACATAAGCACCAATACAGATGACTATGGAGAGCATCGAATTAAATCGGATTTCCGGGGAAAACGCAGTGAGTTCCGTGCCTGGTCTCCCTTTCAATCCAAACTGGCAGCTGGGATCATGAGTGGTGCCAGTGATTTACATTTGCGTAGTGGTTCGAAAGTCCTTTACTTGGGAGCTGGCTTTGGTCGATCGGTATCCCATATCTCGGATATTGTGGGTGAATCTGGAATGGTGTATGCCGTGGAGCAGGGTCCGTGGGCGGGTCGTCAGTTAACAACTCTCGCGAATGGTCGTTTAAATATCGTACCTGTCATCGATGATGCCACCATGCCATATAAATATCGCTTTGAGGTTCCAGCCTGCATTGATGTTATTATCTCTGATTTACCGCAGGCAGATCAGGCTCGCTCCCTGATGCTAAATGCTAGACATTACCTGGTATCAGGAGGTAACTTTTTGACCTTTATGCATTCGGTTGCTGGTAGCAATGGGATGTCCAATAAGGAGGCAGTTGCCGCTGAGAGAGAGCTTTTAAAAAAGAACCATTTGGAGCCCACTGAAATGATCTCATTAGAGCCTTTTAAGCCAGGTTACTCCCTTGTTATGGGCGTATACACGCGAAAGGATGAGGCTGCTTAGATTGTTTAAGCTAAATGTTAGGCTTTTACTAAGCTTAATCAAAAAATATAAAAATAGAAACAAGTAAATGTAAATAAATATTTGAAATATAAATCAAAATATTGAAATCTTTATATTAGTAAAACCTTCAGAAATCTTCTAAATATTCTTGTAAAAATAAAGAATATATTTTGCATTTAAAAAAACGCAATTGATTTTGCCTTTCTTCCTATAGGAGAATGATAATTTATTATTTACAAACTCAATTGTTTATTCAGTTATTTTTTATTACCATTGAATAAAGGCAGACTGTGCACAAAATTGAATTAATCGGAAATTATTTATGCCCCAGTGCCGCCGAGCGAGAATATATCAACATATTAATGAAAATAGCTTGCATATAATTAATGAATTAAGTGAAATGCCTTGCCCATATATACATAGGTCCAAATACATTCGTGAAGAGCACTCGAACGGCTAAATCACTTTGAATTGGGGTTAATCAAATATTTATTCCGTTTTTTTTTTCGAATAAATATGTAATTTTATTTTCGCTCTGATGATTCTCCAGATTATTTCTGTTTCCAATTAACAGCAGACTTCAAAAAGGTTTGGTTTTTCATTAAATGTAAATTGTTTCAAAACGGTTTTATGGAAGAGAAAGAATGCTGTAAGTTTAAATATTTCATGTTACCCAAAGCTTCTTTCCCGTTTAAAATTTTAAACAATTATCACCTAGTAAATATAGTTTAATCCCTTAATTCTCTTAATTTTTTTCGCCAATGATTAAGGGCAAGAGTCCCTAATAATCTAATTCATCATATATCACGCATTCAGCCCGCATTTAATTAGAGGGAACAGTTTTAATTTAATTAGGGATTACAACTAATAAAACTTTTTCATTTCGCTGACTCGGCTGGATTGGAGCACAAACACCATTTGTTCAAACAAATGCATGGCAAAATCTTAATTAACCTCGGGGTGCAGAGCATAAACCAACGCACACCCATTCTATATACTCCATATATATATCTATATATATGTATATATAAGAGGATGTCTATTACGCGAGGGTCTCGAATGAAAGAAGGCAAGCTGAGCAAATAAAACTATGTCTGAGTCTGTGTGTCTGTGCGCGCACACATTCATTTTGTATGTTGCGCACTTTATTCCATCTATCCCAAAGACAAAACCAGTCAGTTAACCAGCAGCACACCCCAGCCCAGCCCAGTCTATAGCCTTACATATCTCTATATATCCCCCCTCCCCCAGTATCAGGAGCCAACTCAACCCAACTCCCATTCACCATGTGAAGCGAAAATTTCGCTGCTCGGGAATTACATTAAGCGTTGGGCATAATAAATTATTCCGTATGATATGATTCTGGTACATGATAAGCGTTTGTAATTTTAACTGTCAGTTAAATGAGTAAATGGCACTGAGTACCAAGTGGGGAATACTGGGCGGGTAGAGGCGGGTGGTTAGGTTTTTTGGTGGGATAGGAAGTACGAGCTCGGCATGGCAACGATTTAGAATACTTCATATTTATCTTTTGTTGGAAACTTGAACATTTGTGTGCGTAAATAAAAGTTGAGCGTCAATATTTGCCAACCTACACGCACACACACACACACACATACACTCACCCATTATATAGATACTGTACTAACACATGCACACATGTGTAATTACAACTCAGCGGTGGGCGGGGTGACAAGTACGTGACTATAATCATCGCGATTTCGCCACTGCCACCGCCTCATAATCTCCACAAGCACCACGCCCATCCATCCAGCTGACCCAAAACTCCCGCCCTACGACAACCTCCCCCCACCCCCTGCCTTCACTCCACGAAAAATCCCCTCCGCTATTTGCTTTGAAATTAAAAAAGTTTCGCACTGAGCTCTGTTAGATTTTTCGCTTCTGCCGCTGCCTTGATTTACATGTTAAATAATTTCGTGCTGCTCTGGCTGTTAGCCACCCACAACCCACTTTTATTACACTGAAAGAAAAGCTTGTAAATGGACATTAAAGGTTTATGATGGCTTCTGATTACTCTTTAATTTTTCTGATTAAATCTATTATATTTTTTATATGAAAAGCTATTAACAAAAATAAAAAAAATTTTGCACAACTATTAAATTAAATTAAAATAAATTTAATAAGTTTTGTTGCTTAAACAGTTGATTTTTATATTTATTCAAAGTTTTTTTTATACCTTATTAACCTGATATGAGTTTTTCTCAGCGCACGCACTTTTGCCCGCCCTTCCTGTCACATTGAAAAACTGTTTGAAACGCATAGCACAAAAGTCAAATATGAGCGGAATGGCAGACAGATGGGTGCTGAAGAAGGGAAGTTAGTCAATATGTACGCTGCCATCCCGGATCGCGCATTTGCCAAATCAACAGTTCATTAAATCACGTAGCTTATAAGGGGAAAGCAGCCGGACATGTCCGCATGAAAACCAACCCAATAATCCGAACTTAAAGGAATAATATCTAAGTCACAATGCAAACCTAGAAAGACTCAGTACTGAATGGTATTTTATTAGTTATTTATAAAGTGAATACAAATTGTTAAAATATTCCTATAGATAATCAAACTGTGGAATGTTGTTTGGGCTTATTTATTTAAATAGTTCTCTAAATTAAAGAGTACATTATTATCGAATACTTTGCTTTCAGACTTTACATTTTAAAACAGTGAAATGCATAAAAGTTTACAACATTTTTTCCATTCTAGCTATCATCATGCATTTAAAAGTTTTTCTATTGTTCGCTAATTGAGTGAAAATAATTGTAAACTATTTATTTTATATATATTGTTATTGATGCTGAAAGCTTCGAACTGATATCCTGTGCCCTCGAGACGTCCACGTTCGTTAGAGTAAATTCGTATTGAAATCAATTAATTCCCGATACACGATTTTGCAATTAGACTTGCAGTTTTTTGTATTCACAAAATTCGCTAATTAATTAGATTCACTTATGCGGTTGGCTGCTGGGCACATAAAATGCTGCCACATATACAAATTTCAACGTGCAACCGAAAATGTGGAACATACGACTTGCAACACGCAATAAGCTAAAACAGAATTTTAGTGCCAAAACCTCGGTAAAAAGTGAAAATCTGCATTTGAGCTGGGAGCTAAGCAAAAAACTAAAAAAAAAAAAGAAAAGTATCAAAAAAGAATAATAAAGTTCAAACTGCAAAATGGCAACAATGGCAAGTGGAAATGCGAATCGAGCGTGGAAATATTATGCCCCAAAGTCACTGAAATGCAATGCACAAAGCGCTGTCGAGGATTTTTGCCGCTGAAAGCAAATCGCTGGGAATCGAATGGCATTTTTAGCGGGGGGCGGCGGGAACAACGGTAAAGGGGCGTGGCAATGCAAAACAACTTAAAATGTCATATGAAATTTGTAGCGTTGCTGATTGCGCGTGTTAAACAGTCAAAGCGGGGAATTGGAAATGGCTCTACCAGCCACCCAAAAAGGACCCTTTTTTTCTCTCTTTCCATGAAGAACAACGCGTAAATCCAGTCACGCCCCAAAGACACACACATAACCACACCGAAAAAAGTAGGGGGCGGAACGTAAAACAAAAAGAAAGTGCACCAAGCCGCAAGCGAAACGTACAAAAATAAAAAGCGAATGCGAGAAATCACAAATTCCAACGAAATCTTTAAATCCCACGGATTTATGCATTTTAACGTTGCATTTTCTTTTCCACGGCCAATGCATGTGGGCTGTCCCTGATCTCGTCCTAGGTGCCCCTTTTTCCATACTTATGCTTTGGTTTTCCTTTTTTTTGATTCTGGATATGCGGGCTAGGACCTGGACTTTTCCGGGTGGCAGGCTGCGGGAGTTGGGGGTGTGGCGTTTATGTGATTTCTATAGTTTGCCAACAGCGCCTCAAGGTGTCACTGCACTCTGCTGCACTCGTATCCTCATCTCTCCCTATCCCCCATGTGACATGATTTGTTTTTGGGTGGACTTACACATTTATTATTTATTTCTAAAATTAAGTAAAATTTATTTTACCCAATTTTTGACTAGTTTTTATTAATTTTTAAGTTTTTTAAATATTTTTTGCATATTTTAAAATCTATACAGGTCTTAGACCCACTCTAATGTGCTTTCCCCAACAAACAGCACAGCCATCGATGACGCTACTGCGTTTCGTCCGTGTTCCCCGCGGCTCTCTGAAATTGCTGGTGCAGTCTGTCTGTGCTCGCTATCAGGACGACGACAGCAGCAGCAGGAGCAGGAACACTTTTTCCCCTCTGATTTTCCCGAGAGCCAACACTTAACGCCACCGAAAAAATGCACACAATCGATTGGCGCTGCCTCCAATGGCGCCCACAATCACCGACAGCAGCAAAAGCAATAGCAAGAGGAAAAGCTGGAGCAGACGCAGAATCGGAATCGGAATCAGGACCAGAGAATCAGAAGCTATAGAGCAGCGAGGCAGACATTCGGGGGCTGCAAAACTATCTGGCGCTTTTGTTTTACGATTCCTTTTGGTCCTGATGATCGTCGTCCCTGTCTCCGCTCATGGCCATGGGCATAATCGTGTTACTGTTTGCTGCATTGGATGTTTGTTTGTCTTCGGTGCTGCTTTCCCTTGCTTGTCCTACTCATACTCCTTTAACTACCTACACACCACCTCTCACAACTCCACAGCCGCCACCTCGTTGTCCTTTGAACTCCATGCCCCACATCCCCTCTGCCACTTCTGCTGCTGCTGCTGCTGCTGCAATCTCTGTGTAATATTTTATTTTCAATTCGCATTTAGTGCAGCCGTGGCAGGATCTAGGGGAGCGGGAATAAATTGTATCTGACAATTGGCAATTGGCCTATCCGAACGTTTGATAGTATCCCAGCACCAGCACCCAGCACCGTGCCCAGACTGAGCCCCTTTCTGAATCCCAGTATCCTATTCTAGTTTTAGCTTCAATCACACCTAGAAAAAGTAAGGTAAGCATAGTCATTAAAGGGTCTATCTTAACTCAGAAATTATACTACAAAATAAGTGCTAAAAATACAGATCAATCTCCAATTTTAAAAATTACATAGACAATTTATATTTAGATAACAACGTTTAAAAATCAGTTAATATTTGACGTATTTCTCACGGTGCATGCGCAACTTTTAGGGCTTGCCAATAAATCCATTGGGGGCGTAGTGGGCGTGCCAGCCGGCAGTTTATGCTGAATCACGAATTACATTAGACAAGGCCGGGCTTTGCCACAGTGGCACACACATCCGCAATCGCACGGCCACTGCCACAGTGCCTGCCAATTGGATTATCACATTGGCCAGGGTTCTGGGTCTCCAATTCCATCCAATTCCATTCCAGGGGATTCCCAAACACACACACACACACACACACGCAGAAAGACTCCCATGAACAGTGCCATATTCGCTGACAGTTTTCATTAAAATTTCGCACTGCCGCCAAAGTGCGTTTGGCATGCCTCAAACGACTCCATCAATGACAAATCCCGCTCCTGGCGGCCAGCGGAAAATCGAAAGTCGCCAGTGCAGTGATAAATGTCAAATCAGCTCTGTCGAGTATCCTGGCCTCTTTCTCGTCCACATCCTTATCCACAAAACTCATCCTCAAATGCTTTTTAAGCACTCACATGCCTGCCGTCGCACTTACGAGAGTTGTGAATGGATCAGGGAAATACGAACAAGGGGGGAAGGAACCTGATGTCCGGGACCATGTTGGAGGTACATTACGGGCAAACAAAAATTTGCCCTGTCAACTAAATGTCAGAAAAATGGTTTGGCAACGAGTTCTTCCTTGGAACATCCCGCTGCATCCTTACACTAGGGAGATAAGTCTCTACAGCTAGTCCCAGCAGCTATGGCTTTGCTACCTATTTTTATTTACTAATTTAATTTTTATCATTTTAACATTCTAACATTAAATCAGTAACTTTTTTCTCTTATTAAAGGAATAGTAATACTTTTTAAGATGTAAATATTTTAGTTTTAATGTTAATTTCTTAAAACTTTTCTCTTAGTGAAGCTAGCAGCTTGACACTGTCCCTGGCACGCACGCACTTGATCAATCATGCGACGCCATCGATGTTACCATCGTGGAGGACGAGGTTGTGGATTTTGCGGAGGATGCGGTTAAGGATGTGGAGGTGGATGTAGATGCCGCTGACAAGTGCGCTGCGTGGTATTTGCATTGATGACAACTACACGTCCGCAAACGATTATGGAGCACCTTTACCAATCCTGCCCGATTTGGGTTTGAAATGTGGGCAACACTTCGTTTTCTATCGTTAAACCATCATCTAGCCCATCGAAAATCCCTTCACCTTGTGGTCTGGGCATATTAATAAACCGCTCCGCCAGACATCGATAACAAATCGATGGCCATTCATCTTGGCTGACAAAATCGAGCGACATTAACCACCAGCCGAGTGGCAGTTCTACAAAAATAATAGCTAAAAATTATGTGTATAAAGCAAATATTGGAAAGCGACAGGCAAATCCAAACAAATGTTAGAGCTTTTAACCGGGATTATCGGCGCGTTATTTATGCATCATCATTTGTCTTGAGCTCAGTCCGCGGCGGGGAAAATGTCTGACCGCAGCATCTGGTTCTCTCTCTCTCTCTTGAACGCTCGCCAAGAAATGGTTAATTCATACCAAATTTTGGGTGTCTGCCATAATCCCTGGTAGCTAATTTGATTTTAAAGTTTTTAAATGTTGCTTCTAGACGAATTTGGCAGATAAAATTTAAAAGTACCTATAGCTCTTATACAATATGCCTAAAAGTTTGCAACAAAAGGTTGTGAATATCTAAATACGGTAAAGTTAAAATTTTGTTCTAACCTTTTAACACCAACTATGTGCTAGATTATTGATCAGTATAATGACCTGCAAGATTGTTGAGTTTTAAATTTTAGCTGCCTAATGATTTTTTATATTTCGAGCTATGTGAGCGTAAGAGTGGGCGTGGTCGGATAATGGTACCTAATGATGTGCTGGAATTTCAAAATTATAAATGCTTTATCCCTTTATATCACTAACAGTTCCTGGGAAACTAAGCGATTTTAGTTTTTCATGATTAGTGGGCGTTATAGTGGGCATGGCAGAAAGCTGCTTATAGAACTCAAGAATATCCATGCTTAATCCCAACTTTGTATCTTATAGTTTCTGAGATTTCCGCGTTCATACGCAGAGACAGAGAGACAGACGGGCATGGCTTGATCGACTTCGCTAATGATCCTAATCAAGAATATATTTACGGGTATAATTAAAGTGGGCAACTTATTTTATGCCGAAATTCACATATCATTACAGTATTAAAATGATTTCATTGGAGACTCAAACACCACACGTATATGATTGGTCACTTTTAGATTATCTTCTTAATTTTTAAATGCAAAATTAAGTCATTATAAAAACTTTATAAGTATGGTCGCTTAATGACTTTTTAAGTTTCTGCATACCATTTGGTTGTTCAAATTGGGCTATCTTTCAAAAGCTTCCAGTATGCGGTGCAGTTTAGTCATTTGTGCGGTCGTTGGATTGATTTTAACAGAGTTCAGTGTAGGTTCATGAAGTATTTAAATTTTTAACTAAATTTTCAGAAAGATTTTTTAGGGGGCGGTTGTTTTTAAGATGACAAACTTTGTATGTGAAAGCTATAATAAATCTTGGGTTGTACTCCATAATTGTCGCCTGAAGGCCATAAGTCGAAACAAGGTTATACTTAATATGAACGGAACATTTCTATATCCAGCATATGAAATAGAAGCTCATGGTAAAGTGTATAAAAGAGAAAATGGCTACAAGCCTTGGCTGTTTGACACCAAAGTTGATGCCTGTCGTTTCATGAGAGGAAAATACAATCCTGTCGCAAAAATAATCTACAGCCTCTTTGAACCATTCAGCAATCTTAACCACACGTGTCCCTATGTGGTAAGTTATCATCGATTCATTATCTTTTTGATAAACAACGTTTTGAAATAAACATATTAATAGGGACCACAGATTGTCCAAGGATTTTATCTGAAGCCCGAACTGTTACTTCTACCGTTTCCATCTGGCCAATATATGCTGGCCATAAGATGGTTTTTTCACAAGAAGCTGCAGTTCGATACAAACGTCAGCTTTTTGTTTGAGGAAGATATTTCGAAAAAGAAATAATAAGACAAAATGGAAGTGTATAAAAAATGAGATCTAAAAAGTTAACGTCGAGCTGGAGAAAGAAGTAGAAACGACGATGACTAAAAAGACAAAGAGGAGAAAATCAGAGAAAGAAGACAAAAACGTCTACACGAGGAACGAGGAGAGGAAGGAGGAGTATTCGAGAAGATCTGACGAAGTGATCAAGCGCTATAATTTTGGGATCTATAAAAAATAAATCGTTTTCATAGAAAATATTCAATGGAGTAAAAAATATAATATACATATTTTTGTAGAATATATTGTAAATATTATATTTTTAATTGTTCAAATGCTAAATTTCAAAGTATTAAAATTTTTCAATTGATTGCTTTTTAAATTTGAGCTGTTTAGTTGATCGTTGAAAGAAAGTCTGTTCTAAAGCTCGAACTGTTACTCCTACCGTTTCCGTCTGGCATATATATGCTGGCAATAAGAATGTTCTTTGACGGGAAATTGCAGTTTGATACAAACGTCACTTCTTTGTTTGAAGGAGATTTTGGAAAATCGCAATGAATATTTTTTTAAATACTATTGAAATGACTTCATGCTAAATTAAGGCATCATTAAGACAATAAAAGTAAAACAAAAACTGTTCGTTGTACCATTAATAGTTGCCGCTTGATGGGTTTTTATGCCGGTTACTCGCAGAGTAAAAGAGTATATTGTATTCGTTGAAAAGTATATAAAAGGCAGAAGGAATCGTTTTTGACCCTATAAAGTATATATATTCTTGATCAGGATCAATAGGCGAGTCGATTAAGCCATGCCCCTCTGGCCGTATGAACCCTGAGACCTCAGGAACTGAGATTAAGCATGCAGATTCTCGAGTTTCCTACGCAAGTTTATTTCAGCATTCTACCAAGCCCACCATAACGCCCACCAATCCTGAGAAACTAAAATCGATATAACCTCTGGAACTTTTTGAATGTGTGTCTTCGTTTTAACTTGTATAACATTTCTAGTTTATATCTAGCGATTTACCAAATATATTTTAAATTGAAAATTATTTCGCTATTTATGAAGAAATATGGGTCGTAAAGCCTGCTTTTTCCTTTGTTTCAACTAGCAAAATGAATATTTTAAAATTGTGTAAAAGAGAAACGGGTATCTTATAATCGCGACGCTCGATCAAAGCGTTTCTTCTTGTAATATATATTTAGTAGCATAGAATGTATTCTATAAATCAAAGTTGTAGTAAAGCTTCGATTTATAAGCTCAATATAAAATCTATATAAATATCTTTTCTAACAATAGTATGTTTGATTAATTTTAAAAATGAACGAATATCCCTTACTAATGGTCGCTGTAAATTCAAATGAATTCCTTTGTTGGACTCCTCCACTTAGTTGTGTGTGTGTGTGAGTTCCTTCTGTACTTAATTGAAAGTGGATTAGCGGCGTTTTATGCTCGGGCACGTTGCCACGCTTTGGCAGACTGTTTTGCTGGTTTCGGAAATGTTCTCTTTTTTTCAACCCACAAATACATTGAAAATTAATTAAGCCACACGATGAAACCATGCTAACAAGATGCTTAAAACAAAATGTTCTTCTTGGAAAAACAAATACCCAGCCCCGCCTGCGTGTTTCTTTTTTTTTTCATTTTGCGGTTACCTAAGATTACGCATACGCAGTGTGGTGCGCGTGTGAAAAATACTTTGCAAGAAAGTTTTATCAAACCAAAGCAAAAAGAAATTGCTAAGCCGGCCGTGTCTCTAACTCCTAACGCCTCCTTCTATTACTTTAATGGATTCACAAAAGCCCTTTTTTCATTAAGGTGAATGCTGGGGCTAGGATCTCTGGAGGCCAACACTTGGGCTTTCTTTTCGGCTCAACTTTATCAGACACCCAATTAAAAGGGCTTTATAACAATTACAGCTAATAACACGCTTCAATTGTGCCAGCAAGGCCAGAGGGCAGGAATCCACACCCAACATTTTTCCTGCTTTTATTTTTTTTTGCTGCTGGCTTTGGATTTTTATTGGAATTTTTGTCAGGCTGGTTTTTATTTTTATTTCTATTTTTGCGGAAAACGGAATTGTGGCGGCAATTAAAAGGCAAGACCACAGCAATTAGCAAATTGACAACCGGATTTGTTTATGCATTTAGCAGGCTTAGTTTAGCCGCTGACGTTGCCGCTGCTGTCACTTAAATAATTGAAATTATTATGGCCATTGTTTCGGCCTCTGTAATCTGTAAGCCAAGTCGAAAGCGAGTGGGCAAACTCAAACAGATAGCACGAACAAAATCTCTGAAATTTGATAAATTAGTTGTGGAACTAAAAAAGTTTTTTCCTATTTTCGTTGAGCATTGCATTGGCTTGCATTTCTGTGAGCGGCTTATCCCCCAGTCTGCTGATGGGCGCAAACTTTTCCTCGGCATCCTCGGCAGGCTAAATGCAAAATCCAATTTTTCGAATGAAAAGTCAAACAGGAATTTAACTTTTGATCCGTTTTTGGCAAAAGAGTCGGCAATCAGTGAAGAAGGGGTAAACTCGCTGTGCAGCTAGCACTTTTTTTCTCCCCATTTTCCATTTTCCGTTTAACAGCTAATAAATTTTTCGACCCTCAAATCAATATGTATTTCGTTCGACCTAAAAACCATCAATGAATCGATAGCAATTTCAATTTAACGCCCATTCTCGGCAACTAATTTGCAATCATGAGAGTTTTTGTTAATTTTAATTTGATTATACCATATTACGCATACGCCACCTAAGCCCATTTCCACATTTTCCCATTTACCACACAGCCATTTCGATCGCGATTTTTGGGGCTGTCAGTTTTGATGGCTCGGCGAAATGATTATCATTGGAAGCACATAAAAATAATATTTGTCGATTTGTGTTTGCATTTTATGCAAGCCCACTGTCGTCCTCGGCCATCGGCCATTGGCCATTGTTTTAGCGTTTTATTTGCTTTTGGTCCTGGGAAAATATTCCAAAATTCAAATCTAATTAACATTTGGCGCAAAAATGTTTATAATGGCAAATGGACAAATGACAGGAGATGGGGAGAATTGGATGATTTGAATTTTAATGAGCTGCGATTGGCATTAATTGTCAGCGGCCTAATGACAGACGGCCGGGAATTATTTACATAGCGTGTAATTTAATAAAAACCATTCGAGAATCATGGAAAATATCTCTGGGCATTCCGTGCATGGCAAATGCGAGAAGTTCGATTTAAATCGAGTTTGATTATTGACAAAGCCGTTGTAGATCTCGTATCGCTTTCAGCCCATAAGTGACAATGCAACAAGCGGAGCAGTAAGAGCGCAACAATGCCTCAAATACAACACAACGCAACACAATATATCACGCATACGCAACCATGCCGTCACTCAATCCACACATCCATACATATCGCACTCACACAGTTGCAGATGGAAACTTAGGAGCATATGGATGTGCCGTTGCAAACACATGCTCAATTGAATTGAAATTGAATTTGCAATTCTATGCGCTGCAGCTAACGCCATTTTCTTTGCCATGCGGGAAGCCCCATTGCCGATTGCCATCTCACTCACACACTCTTCTCTCTCGCAATCGAAATCCCACTCACTCCTCATTTTTTTGTAGTGTTTTTATTTTATTTACTCTGGGGATGGAAGTCTCCTGACATGGTTATGAACTTGGTCGGCGAAAAGTTATGCCCTCGTGTTGCAGCATCTGATAGCCAGCATCATACGAAACAGTTTAAATTCTACTAACTTGAAGGGTTTAGGGAATAAGTTTGTTTTATTGATATGGGATAGAAAGAAATAATATGTTTTTGATATTTTATATACCACAAATCTCAGTTTAGTTCGTAAAATAATAATAATAATAATATTGTTAAAGAGTTTTTTTTAGACAAAAATGTTAACTTATTTCTTTTGTTTATTTAATATTAAGAATATTAAATATTTATTATTAATTAAGAGCACTTTCTTCATCAAATACCAAGTGATTAATAGAGTTGCTTAAATCTTTTATATCTATGTTAGGGCATTGGTATATTCCGGGTTTATCGAAACCATTTTTTAGCCCGCCTTTTTTTTTTTGCAAATTTCTTTGCCGGGCACTTGGCAGCTTTCCGTTCGCCTCCATACCATTCGATTTGCTTTGGTCCTGCCATCCTGCTTTCCTACCGTCCTGCCACTTTTCCACTCTCCGGCTCTTCTAGTCGCTCCTCTTCTCATGCGTATTTGTGTGTTTGCTTTCGCTTTTTGCCGTATTTGCATTTCGTTATTGAGACTGAGACAAAGCGTCGCACAAAAAAAGTGCCGAGGAGCCTGCTCCGCCTCCTGCTCCTGCTTCTGCATTCAATCATCAATGAGATTTTGCATTTTACACTTTTCACTCTGGTTACGCTTTTGCTGCATTTGCTTCTTCTCTATCTACTGCTCCTGCGGATTCCCTTTGCCATTCGATGCAGCCCTTTGTTTGGTTTTGCCAGCTGGAAGCTCCTGCTCCTTTGAGTCCTTCAGCCCCGGCTGAGTGCCTCTTGAGCCGCTCTCTGCCGTTCCGCATAATTGTTGCCCACACTTGGGATCTTCGGATCCACCATCCTTGTAAGATTTTGATTGATAAGACCCGGCCAAGTGTCTCTGATTTATTGATTAGTTGTCAAAGCGATTGCTGGCGCAATGGTTAAATTTGCCGGTGGTCAAAGCAATTAATATGTAAATGTGACAAATATCTTATCGGGTTGTAGAAACATTGAATGTGTTTCTTAAGAAGATCTAAGTGAGAGACTGAAAAAGGAATACGTTCCAAAAAAAAAGACGGACAGACATGGGTGTTAAATTGAAACTCGCCTCTACTTGTAGTTTTTTGCTGAATTTCTTAAGACATTTTATAGGATTAACTTTACTTAAGAACTATTAAAACTATCCAATAAATTGTGCAATATTTTGATTTATGTTTATCCATTTTTGACACCTTTTGACTTCAACTTTTAATAGCTTGCTTTTATAATGGTTTCTTCTTTATGATTTCGAGGAGAAGAAACCAGAGTTCAGAATAGGCTTTTTTACAGTGCTCCTGGAGGCATTCATTCCAGTTGCATTATGGCTCCCCACTCGACATTCGGTACTCGGCAAAATGATTTGTATGTCAGCCGGAGGACCGAAATGGGGGGCACATGTTTGGCATGCCAAGCGCCACAAAGTATGCCGC